CCACTTCTATAAGTCGAAAGGAGACTGCGACCATACCCGAGGCCACATCTTGGTCTTCACATCTTCAATTGCTTAGGAATGTTTTTTTTTCACTACAATGCCTATCACATTACAGATAGAAGCTTAACAGAGAACTAATGGAGTTAGGAAAAGGTGCTATAAATGGATTTAAATGGTTCTATTAAGTAGAAATTCAAATAGTCACTGTATGTAAACAAGAGCTATGAAAGGCCATATGCATTAAATTGGAGATAGATGGACGCACAGGATAAAAAGATAATAAACGCAAATTAATATGAACCTACTAAGTGGAAGGTTAAAGGCAGAATGCTGACCACGGCCGGATCCAGTGGGCCAGTGAAGTCGAAGAGAGGCAGGCTCTGCGGGGCCATGATCGAATCGAGACTGCGGTTCGGCCACAAGAATGCCACATCCGGTACCGGGGAAAAAGCCAAGGGCTGAATGATGTATCGAAAAGGTGACCACTCGAGGACAAATCCAGAAGGCTTCTTCCACACCGTCACCATGATGCAGATCCAAGTCGATGTAAAGAATGCGTGCGGGAGTTGAAGGTCGGAGGCCAAGTCCTTTAAGAATGGAAGATGTGTCAGTTTTGAGGGAAATGACGTTGTTTATGAGACGATCGGAGAACGATAGAAGCCGGATAATAGCCAGCACAATATCGTTAAAGTAGCAAAAACCAGAAGCTTGAGACCGCTTGGCGTGATGCCAACCACCGGCCCAATTGATGGCGACCTGGAGAGATACAAATAGTTACTGGTTTTGCTTTAGAAATCTAACAACAAGTTTGCGAAAAGTACCATAAGACAAAATTTGAATCAATAACAAACGATCACAACCCAAAATAAAATGATTGTAAAAATAAGGCTTGGAAAGGGTTCCTTGAAGAGCTGCAGAAGACAATTAGGCGGTGACAGGACAATTGCTGGTGTAAACCTTACTATAAGTGGTATGAGTTCGTTTTTGCAACCGGGCCGTGTTGTTTGGATGACTTAATTGGACGTACCTTGTCCAAGGTTCTCTGCCATAGTAAGTATTCTAACTCCTAGCATCGTACTGTTGACGTGGTACATTCCTATACGCTTCGCTGGCATGGTTACTGAGTCTTGCCATTCTTAGTATCAGGCTACAACTCATTAGACACAACTTCTGGACATCAAAAGGAGACTGCGACCAAAATAGGAGCCACAAAGTCTTGGTCTCCCTATTTATGTTAAAACCT